TTTCATGAGTATGTTGTGGGAAATGCATAAAGACTTAGCAAAGAACAATTGAGAGCTGAAAGAATAGAAAGATAACTTTGTGAATGAGAGTAGAGGGGAACTTCTATTAAATTAAATGAAGCCTTAGTCCTGCTCATCTCCTCTCTGCTCATGGTTTGGTAAATGATTTGTTTTATGTCATTAATAGTCCCATACAAATATGGAGAAAGTATAAGGAAACCTGCCTAAAAAAATAAATGTGTTTTCCGTATCTGAAGTCTTTGTGTACTATGTACTTGGTGATTGTATTGACACATTATTGGTTAGTTAGGTTTGCTGACCATTTACAACTTTCACACTCCAATGGAAATAATTATTGAGCAATGTATAATATATATACACTATAATATACTATATAATATAATATACATTCTGAAACTATAGTATCTATATTTTTGCCATCCCTGGATTTTTTTTCATTTACTTTAAGGGACAGACTTTTTCAATCCTTTCAGTAGCCTTGTCCCTAACTGGCACAGTTGTTAAATAGCTTCAGATAGTGGATTTTTTTTTGTTAGCAGAATGTAAACTGCCTTTACATACAGTATGTGTGTCTGATTAACACATTTCTTTTATGAAAATAAAAAATTTAAGTTTTAGAGGACTACGCTGAAAGCAATTATTTGTAGGAAAAGCAGTGTTGAAATCCTACTTAGTACATTTGTGGGATCATGTGCAAACTTAATACATGATTTAAAAGGATTTATATTCTCATTTAGTTTGCTATTCCAAGAAAGGATTTCAGCTTAGAGTGATGTAGAGCACGATGGAAGACTCATCTGCAGATAACAGTAATTCAAGAGAACAGTGCATCTTGTGCTAGAATATATGTCAGTGATGCAAATATTCCATATACCTGTCTGTGTTCTACATTATATTCTATATACTATTATACTATATATATTCTATATTATATACTGTTTCATCCTGTAACCTGTTGTTATGCTTTATGTGTCTGCATATAATGTTTCATTCCTACAGGCTTTTTTAGCAAAGCTGTATGACAAATATAGAGAAAATATATAGTTACTTTTGACAAAAATAGACAAAGATGTGTTTCATCATAACAAGGACAGTTTAAGCTTTTTAATGCAAAGATAAAACTGTGCAGAGGCTTTTTTGTTTCAATCCTCCATAAACTGTGGGACTTCTGGAGCACTTTGTCCCCAGTACATCTCTTCCTGAAATGCAACTCTTTTACCTTTGCTGATCTGTTCCCATTTAAGATGGAAGAGAAATGTCCTTACCTACTTTGAAATATTAGCATTCTGGGACAGTAGTACAGGGAATGGGCAATTTCTCAGTTTGCATGGCTGTAAGGATTGCAGTTTACAGGATATTTAATTATATAACAGTGATTGACAAGCAATTGGTTTGCAATTGGCTTCAGCATGCTGTAACTGCCATCAATTTGTTTTAAAGCAGTTGTTAAAGTATCCTGAATGATTTCATAACATTGCTTTTCTGTTAAACTGACTGCTGTGATTGCTGTAGAAATGGTGGGTGATTACTAATGGCACTCTTGAATAGGAGTGGAAATTAACAAGACAGTAACCTTGGAGGTAGAGTCTGTGTCATACTAGTAGAAGGCCTTACATTCTGCCTTCCAGAGACTGTAGGTCTGTAGGTTTTCTTTTAAATTTGAAAAAAAAAATCCTACAGATATTTTTTATGAGCTCGAAAGATGGTCTAGAGTTTTCCTTTTGAAATCGCATTGCCAGCTTACCTGTCTTGGGGTTTTTTTGAAGTTCAGTGGGTTTTGTTAGGGTTTATTTGTAATGGCATGTCCTCTGTTGTACTTTGCTATATGCTGTTCTTTCAGACATAGTCGCTTGCTATGGCAGTGAACAAGATGGGCATCCAGCTATGAAGCAGAAACTATGTGTATTGGTTTGATCAAAGTTACATAATTATGGCTTTTGTTGTGCATTAATCATTCATGAATAGAAGCCTTTCAAGGAAAGAAAAATGTGACTCCTCTTATGACACAAAGCCAAATGGTTTTAGTAGTCAAAGTAACACTTTAAGAATGGGGTGTTGTTTGTTCCCACCAAGTTGCCTTTTCTAAGCTGTTATGCAAGTAAAAGTTCTGCTTGGTGTGCAGTCTTAATTATTTAGGATATACACATCTCTGTCTTTTCTTTTCTAAAAATAAGCAGTCACTCTAATATTTGCTGTTCCAGAAACTGTAACAAGAGTAGCTTTGTGTACTTGAACCATTTCTTATGTAATTCCCATTCTTGAAATTGTTTTGTTCAAGTGCTGAAGTGGTTCTGATCATGAAACTTCTAGTGTTCTTTGTTTCCACTGTTAATGTCTTGCTTGTTTGGTGGGTAGGAGCTAAAATCTAAAAACAGACACCAAATATGTTGTCTTCAGACTGGTGAAAATACATGATGTAAGGGAAGATGCTCCCTTCCTGATAGCCGCCTTTCCCTTCCCAATGATTTTCTTTATTCACTCCTTTGGTCTTTTCTTAATAATTCCTTTCTTGACCAGTTTCTGATTTTGACTCAGTTCTGCCATTTTTTTAAATTTGTCCATCAGGGTTCTCTATTCAGCATGAGAAAGTTTCAGAGATGGTCTCAGTTTACACATATATATTATCACAATTTGGTGCTGACCTTTCGAACCTTTCTCTGCCCTGCAAACCCTGGCTGTTGAATTTAGTCATTCCACTTTATGCAGGTAGATTTTTATTGAGGGATTTCTCTTTCCTCATCACTTTCAGTTTTCTCTGCATTCCACCCAGTCAATGCACCTCTTGCATTGACTGTTAGGCAGAATGTAATAAATACATTTATATCTAGAATCAGCGTTTAAGCCATAAGCTTACTTTGTAATACCTTGGCATGCATGTACGATCACCTGGAATTTGTGACTGTTTCTTTCCAGGACATAATGCACGCTACTTCTAACTCCTGAAGGAATTTGAATGTCCAATTGAAAATGTCTTAAGAGGATCACAAAGGATGGCTATAGGCTGTTTTGTAAAGACAGGCAGGAAAGTAGAGGAGGAGGAGTTGCGCTCTGTGTTAAAGAGAATCATGAACATATAAAAGTTAAATGCAGTGACTATGGAAGCCCTATCAAATGCCTCTGGGTCAAGATCAGAAGGTACATCTCCAACTGGTATCTTAGATTAGGCATCTGCTACTGACCTCCAACCCAAGATGGTAAGGGCAAAGAAGCACCTAAACGGGGTCAAGCAAGTTTTAGATTACAGATCCTGGGTCTTATGGGTGATTTCAACTACCCAGACATTTGTTGGTGGAACAATACAGCACCTTACATCAGCCATCAAGTTCCTGGGATGCAAAGAGGACTGATTCCTCACACAAACAGTAGATGTGCCAACCAGGAATGAGGAGCTGTTGAACTTTCTACTCACAAAACAAAGAAACCTGTCTTGTAGTATCTCAGTTAGTGATGTCTTTGGCTGCAGTGATCCCTATATTGTGAAGTTTGGGGTCTGCCTGTGCACACTGAAGGTTAGTACAAGACAAAGTTTTTAGATTTGGAAGAGCAAACTTCAGCTTGCTCAGAGCTCAACTGAGAGGTAAGCTTCCATTGAGCTAGGGAGTGCTGGGAGTTTTTCAAGACCACTCTCCTGGAAGCAGAAAACCCGTTCATTCTCTATAAAGGGAAGGGAAGTAGGTGGAGAAAGAGACCCCCTTGGCTTAACTGTGACCTTCTGAGTCTGTTCAAAACCAAAAGAGAAGCATACCAGAGATGGAAAAGGGGACAAATACTTGTTGAGAACAAGGGAGTTGCCAGGGAATGCAGAGATGCAGTTAGAAAAGCAAAGACTCAGCTCAAATTGAAATTGGCAAGAGATGTCAGGAACCACAAGAAAGGGTTCTTTGGGTACATAAACAACAAATAACATAAACAACAATAAAAAACAGAAGGAAAATATTGACCTGCTGTTAAATAGACGAGTTGAATTAGTCACCAACAATGCTGAAAAGGCAGAGGTTCTCAACACTTCCTTCATCTCTGTTATCACCAGCACTGTTGGGCCTGGGAACAAAAATCCAGGTTGATGCAAACTCAGATCCAGTGTCAATGAGGGAAAAGTTGGTGTGTGAGCTATTACAGAGCTGGGTCTGTTCAGCCTCGAGGGCTGAGGGGAATACTTCCCACCATGTTCCAGTATTTACAGGGTGGCTACAAAGAAGATGGAGACTATTCTTACAAGGAGTAACATAGAAAATATGAGAGGTAATGGCTTAAAGTTATTCCTGGGGTGTAATGGTTTAAACCAAGTTTTCCCCCTGAAGCTAAGAAAAGTGGTAACCCCCAAGGGGTGGTAACCCCTGGAAGTTTTGAAGTTTTGTCCAATGGGCGCTCCTGCAAAATGTAAATATACCACAAGCAAATGGAAGAGAAGAGTAGTAGTTTGGTTGTAGAGGAAGGTAGCCATGTTCTGAGGCCATGAGGAGTAAAGGGCAGAGCCCCTGGGGGGCTTTGGCATCCCAGCCCCCGGCTGGGGGGGCTGCAGAGACTTGGAACAGTGTTAAGCTGGACTAAGTGTCTGTAACTGAACCTGGAGATGTTTCTTCACTGTGAGCGGCAGCAGCAGAACTGCACTGACCAGAGAAACGGTAGCACAGAGCCAGAAGAGATAAGACGAAGCAGCAGAAGCATTACAGCCAAGCAGGAGAGAACTCCTGGAAGGAGAGTCAGCAGCAGAGCTACAGAGTTTTTGGGGGTAAGAACTGAACCAGACCCCCCAAACTCCTTTGAGACCCCTCTGAGAAAAAGAGGGAGATGGACTCCTATTAAGGAGAAGAGTTTTAGACATGCAGCACTGGAGAGAGAGGAGCTGAGAAGCTCAAAAGCATCCTGAAGCTGGACAGGGACGGAGAGGAATGCGGGGGGAGTTAACCTTGGCCCCCCCCGCTGCTGCTGACAAGCCTGACCTGAGACACAGCACAGGAGCTCTGGTAGAACTCTTGAGGCAAAGGCTTGCAACTGAATGCTGCCCAAGATGTTCTGACTCAGGGGTGAACCCCTGAGGAAGGGACTTTCACGAAGATGCCCCTGCATTTCGTGATATACCTGTGGTGAAGCGAGTCTTGTCCCTGCTGGCAGTCCACAGGTGAGGCCTTCGCTTGGACCGAAGGAGAGTCGAGGGGCTTGGAGACCCCCTTGTGTGTATTGAAAAGGGATCCAGCTACAAAAATCCAGTTCCAACTGCTGCATGGAAAACAGAAGAGGACAGATGACTGTTGCTGTAGAAGGTCCTGCTGCTCAGAGACTAGAAGGGATCTGTCCCTCTTCCCTGCTGGACTTTTATTTGGAGGGGAGAAGAGATCTGATCCATTGTAAATACTTATGTCATGGTAGAGATAGTTGTGATCATGTGTATAATGTATTATAATATTTATTTGTACAGTCATTGTAATATATTCCCTTTCCCCCATTAGGAGTCTGGTGTGTTTTGTCTGGAAAAAACCCATCTCACATCAGATTGAGATGTGACAGACGGCTAAGACTAGGGAATTTAGATTTTGGGGCTATCTCAAACCATGACATGGGGACATTCCAGTTGAACACAAGAGGAAATGTTTCACAGTGAGAACAGTCAGCCAATAGAATTATCTCCTCAGAAGTGATGAATTCCCCAGCATGAGCATTTTTGAGATTTGGCTTGACAGGGTGCTGGGCCATCTTGTCTAGACTGCTTTTGCCAAGAAAGGTTGAACCAGATGATTCTTGAGGTCCCTTCCAACCTGGTATTCCATGATTCTATGCTGAGTTAGAACCCAATGTGGAAATTAATGAGGCAATTTGAAAAGTTTCAGTTTGTACAACCAGAAAATAGATTTTTGTAGATTTTACTATAGTATAGTGATTCTTTTAAATCTTTTAATTGAAAATCAGTCATCTCAGTGAGCTCTAAGAGGTAAAGATGACATGATGTTGTTATTATGAAAATAATTAAAGAGTTTAACATATCATATTACTGATAAAGAACAGAAATCTGGTTTTATCAAACTCATGCTTGAATTCTTGTTTTCTGCACAGACTGCATCCTCAGCTATTAAAGGCGCTATCCAGCTGGGAATAGGATACACGGTAGGAAACCTTACATCAAAACCAGACAGAGATGTTCTTATGCAAGACTTCTATGTAGTGGAAAGTGTCTTCCTACCAAGGTAAGAACAAGCCTTTTCAATTTATCTTCAATAGAATTTCATAATTAAATTCTTAACTGGATATTTGAATGAGGATTGTTTTCCAGTTCTAACAAAATTATGTTAGAGAAAGTTTAATGTATAGAACTTCTGTTTTCACGTTGTCGTTAAAAATGAAGGTAGGAAGAAAATTGGAAAGGTCACACTTCAAATGAAGGTTTGAGACTTATCACTTATGGAGAGGGAGAGTAATTGTGACATTTTCAATTAAAGGAGCTGTTAATTACAATATGAAGTGATATGTGAATCCAGTATTCACATTTGTCTAGTTTCAGTTTAGTTTCTAAAAACTGAGAGTAGTACTTGACATTTTGTTGAGGGGGTTTCAAAATTTATGAAAATTCAAGTCCTGTATTTTAAGTATAATATAATAGTTTATAAATGGCCAGTCTTCGCGAGCGAAGATTTGGGAAAGGTCATTGACCCTTCGAGCCTGCGCAGTGGATTTTTTTAGGTGAGACACAGCGTGCGCTGAACTGAGCCCACCCTTTAATCCTAAGGTTCATCTGCCGGGGCCGAGCAAGCTTGGACAGTGGCAGTGAGGGTCTCAGGACGTAGGTTTGTTTAGAGTGACCTTCTCTTAGATGGATTGCCTCACAGGGCTAACGAGCTCCATCTGCCCGGGGGGCCAGGAATCGAACCCGGGTCGCAGCGGTGAGAGTCCTGCACCCTAACCACTAGACCACCAGAGGCCCCTCTGGTGTTTATACTACTACACTATAAAATTCTCTTCAGGACTTTAGTCTGTGACAACGCTTAGCTCTTACAAACTGATTACAGGTTGCGCACCTTTACTGCTTTGCCATCTCAGCTTGTTTCACTGTCAAGGTGATGGTATGGAAATTGTAGCAATAGAATCACGCCAATGAGAGAAATCAAAGTCATACTGAGTTTTGGAGTTGAGAAGCTGAAGTACAGTGCCACGTAACTTTGCAAATTACATATGCTGGGAAAGGACAAAGAAGATTTTGGAAAAATGTATTTAATGTATTTTAAAACCAAGATGACTTGCTCTGTTCAGTGTGGTCTGGGTTCTTAGAAGTGCTGAGTACCTTCCTTTCAGTAAGGACATGCTACGTACGCAATCTTCCCTGAATTTGGCAAAAATTTCTATGAGTTTTTAAAGTCTGGTTCAGGTGAGGTTTGAATGCTACTTCTAATAATTTATGATCCTTAATAATTTCTGGTGTCACTAAAGAAAGTTAAATTAACAACATACAGAATAATTGCAGGCACTTTAAATTTTGATCTTTCCCCAAATTTGATTTCATTTGACTCCTGTTTTTCTTTGAACTGAGATATCCTTCAAGAAAAGAAAATTTATTTTTTATGTGAAATTAAGCTTTTACATTACATATTTTAGTTCCTAGTAGTTGAGTAGTTGTTAACATCTTGTTCTGCTGTTAATAATAAGGTTTGTGGACAATTTTGTAGCCTTTCTTTTGTAGATTAGGTAAATATAGAGAAGTTAACCATATGCATATATTTTCATACACTGTAATCACAAGATTTTGTTTAAAATAATCCAAATTACTGGTGAGAAATTTGCATATCATGTAACAAGGTTTTTATTGGTGAGGAAAATGTCTGCCTGTGACACTGATGGAGGCTTCTGTAGTTTGCTGTGATTATTACCTTTGTTCGTGGAAATTAAATGAAACCTATATACGAAAACTGTTTTATTACATAGCACAGTTTGAGAAAAAAATCTATTCTCTACCTTTTTAAACATAGTTATAAAGGAACAAGTAAAATAAAATGGTTTGTATGCCATAGCATTGCATATGTCTTCTTTCCTATGAGACTTAACATGCATGTACATACAGAAATGAGATTTCCCTGTTTTGTGTTGGTTTTAAGGCAGAGCTGGGAGCCATACCTTCTGGCTTAAAATGAAAACAATGACAGAGGAGTAAGATGATTGCACTAATGTAAAATAGATTAGAAAAGCTTCAGGAATATCTTTCTGGAGAGTTTCCTATAAATAAATAAATCGTATGAGGAAAACTAGACAAACGAAAGTAATGGTGAGAGCAACATAGTTTTGGCTTTTTAGTTTGGGTTGAATATTTTTTTTTTTTTTTGCATAGCTATGTGCTAAGCAGTAGTATATAACATAGTGAGTCATCTTGACTGTGACAAAGAGCCTCTCTATAAAGAGCACTTGTTGACGACATTCTCTGTGAAATATATGACTATCCATAGCAATCTCTTCAAATCATGACATTTGATTTCTTGTGCTGATGCACAGAAATGTCAAATTTCAAATCCTTGTTATGTCTCATTGTAACATGCACTTTTATTTATCTAAAATACTTTCAACCAAAAGTAGTATTACTGTGCATAAATTGTAATAATTTAGGATTGCACATAATAATACAGGGTTCTTTCTTGCTGGTTGAGAGTATTGGGATGTTGAGTGTTTCATAATGGCATTACATGGATTTATCATGACTCATATCCATACCTAGCTTCATTAGCCTAGGTAAAAAGCTAAGATTGCATGTTTACAATTAGGGCTGCACTCCCAAAGTGCATCTCAGGTGCTCTTTATTTTTTCCTAGCACAGGACCTACATGTGATGGCCATATTGTTAAAAGCCATTACTTTAATGAGTTTTGGTTTTGTCCTCTTTGGATTGTTATGGGTTGAAAGTAATTAGTTGAAATTAGTTACACTAGCAGGCCAAAGGGGTTAACCTTTACCTGGAAGCATGCCCGAGCAAGCTGAGGTTGGGTAAACTTTTCACAGAGGTTTGCAGCTTAAGGAGAACCTAACAGTGCAGCATGTGTGGTGCTGAAAACAGGTGGTTACCAAGCAAGGAACAATATTTTTCCACTTGCTTTGGGTACAAATAATTCATCTGCAACTCCAAGCAGGCTATTAGCTGAACTTCCCCTTGATTGTGGCAAATTCACAGTAACTCCTCCTCCATCCTCCTCCCATGTTTTCCCTGCCTCTTTTGTGTCTGGCACTGAGGTGAGAAAACAACTGTTTTACAGAGTCATAGGTACACCTGCTTCTTTGACAACAACAGGAGCACTGTTATGGTGGCAGTGATAAAACAGACCTAAGCTAGTAAAAATGCAATGAAACAGCAGCCTGTGCACCAGCAAGCAAAATAGTGTTATCTCTACCCTTTTACTGTTAGGGGAAAATAGTCAGCAATGTTTATGAATTTTATCAGTTGCAGAAGATAGTGTCTGCATACCTCTCAGACCCCAAAATAACCCTGGGCACCACCCATACCTCTGCTTCAGTAGCCAGAGCAAAACACTTCCACTGGTGTTCAGAATTCATGAAGGAGGGAGAAAAATGTGAGGGGAAAAAAGTAGTCGGGTCAGATTTAAATGTAACTGTTCTGCATATTGTGGGAGCTACTGATGTAAATCAGGAGTAACTCCATGGATTGAAAGTTGTTCCTGGTCCACAGTTACTGTGTAACTGTGCTATATTGGTCAGAGTTTAGCCCAGATTCATTAAGGTCAATGGAAGTGACTTTGAGTGAAGTAGAGATGTCTCTGTACAGTGAGTGGGTTTGAATTGCAAAGGTGCTTGCTTGCATTTGCATACTGTAGTGGTGCGTAGAGTGGAAAAGTGCCCTTGCTTTGTGCTTTACATTGTGGCATTCCTTTCACCCCCTTCTCTTCGAGTTCCCAGGAATTTATATAACATATTGCTTTTGCAAACTGAGGTATTACAGGTATTACCGCTATAATGGATTTCATTGATAACCACTGTCCAGATAGAATTTAAATGGTACTATGCAAATGTGCTCCTAGGACCGAGAAACAAAACCCTGCACTGACCTGGTTGATTCTGAATATAGCATCTGAAGTCTCTGCCCTGCTCCGTGAATAAGGCAAAACCATAGGAGAAACCACTCCAAGTAACCTGTTTT